TTATCATTATTATATTATTATCATCATCGTTTATTATTATTATTATTATTATTATTATTATTATCATTATTATTATTACTATTATTATTATCATCATCATCATCATTATTATCATTATTATCACATCATCATCATTGTCAATATCATTTTTAAAATATTAGTTTGAAAATAATCAATCTGTAATACTGATCATAATTGCCATCACCATTATCATTAATGCCATTGTCATAGCACCTTTTTCAGAAAGTATTTACGTCATTGCCCTTCCCCTTCTACCCCATTCCAAAGCACGCCTTACCTCGCCCTTCCAGCACCGGAGACGATGTGGGGTCCTGAAAACACTTCGGGCGGGACAGGTTCCTCGGCAGGATCCTCCACGGCGAGTTCGGTCCTCAGCACGGGCGGTTCCTCCACTTCGGCGGCGTCCACGGGTGCTCTCAAAAACGGCATCGGGCTAGCGTGGGCGGTGTCCGGCAGCAGCGGCAAGGGCACGGCCGCGGGCGTGAGCACAGGGATGGGTTCGAGTTCCATTAGTATGGCTAATGTCCTGGACTTTCTTCTGACTGCTACTCAGCTGTACCGCGTTGCCGCCGCCACAACTAACAAGGTACAGGTCAAGCTCTACATAAGCATATAAACCTTAGTGAAGATTGCTTTTCGGAACACACGTGACGAAATGCCTCGCAGGCTCTCCAGGGCGATGGTGTGAATATAAGCTATCAAAGAGACACGTGATGCAATACACTGCGTGCTTGCGTCTGGGGGAGGGAGTGTTTGCGCGTGTGGGTGGTGTGCGTTTGTTTTTGAACGTTTGCCTGTGGGTATAGCTTTCCGTGTACGCTTAGATATAGATGCCCGTAGGTATGCGCGCGCGCGCAATTGTGTGTGTGTGTGTGAGTGTGTGTGTGTGTGTGTGTGTGTGTGTGTGTGTGTGTGTGTGTGTGTGTTTTGCACTTTTTTTATACATGTATAAATCTGTGTGTGTACTTTTCTGCATATACATGCATACATACATATATATGTATGTGCATATATATATATATGTGTGTGTGTGTGTGTGTGTGTGTGTGTGTGTGTGTGTGTGTATGTGTGTGTGTGTGTGTGTGTGTGTATGTGTGTGTGTGTGTGTGTGTGTGTGTGTGTGTGTGTGTGGGTGTTTGTGTCTGGGAGTGGGTGTGTGCGTGTATGTGTATATATATGTATGCATGTGTGTGTTTGTGCGTATGTGTATATGTATTTATGTGTGTGTATTTATATATATATATATATATATATATATATATATATATATATATATATATATATATATATATATATATATATATATATATATATGTATATATATATATATATATATATATATATATATATATATATATATATATATATATATATATATATACATATATACATATATACATATGTTTGCATGTATGTATATATCACCATCATCATCAGCCTGAATCGATCCACTGCAGGACGGAGCCCTCTCCCAATTTTTTCCAACTTTGTCTGTCTTGCGTTTTTTGTTTCCAGTTTCATCACGCCATCTTGTCATTGTTATTACTGTCTGTATCTCTATATCCCTGTCTGTCACTTTCTTTGTCGTCCTGTCTCCGATATATATTACCTCCCCATTGCCATTTTTTCTTTCTTGATGTTCCTAAATATATCTTCCACTTTTGTCTGTTCCCTCAACCACGTCGCCCTCTTCCGATCTCTTAGGCTAATTCCCAGCATCAGCTTCCCATCTCTCTCTGGGCACTTATTTGTTTCCTCTCCAGTAATTTGGTTGTAGTCTACGTTTCTGATCCATAGGTCGTAACTGAGAGAACGCATTGGTTAAAGACCTTTCTTTTTCAACATAATGGCAAAGGGCATCATGGTATTTTTCTGTGTCTGCCGAAGGCGCCCCAGCCTAGACTGATGCGTCGCTTAATTTCCTCTTTGCTAGATGTGTTTGTCTGTACGAGTTGCCCTAGGTATATATATACTCGTCCTCTACCTCTAGCGCTTCGCCTTTTACATGTATTTGTTCGAATTGAGCTCTATTGTTGAACATGATCTTAGTCTTTTTCTTGTTCATCCTAAATCCGACTTTCAGATTTTCTCTTTTCAGGTCGTTTATTAGTTGCTGCATTTCATTTGCAGATTCACTGAAGAGAACAATATCATCTGCAAATCTTAGATTGTTTAGGTATTCGTCTCCCATTTTGATACTCTTTCCGCTCCATTCATGCTTCTTGAATATTTCCTCAAGGCTAGCTGTAAACAGTTTTGGTGAGATGGTGTCGGCCTATCTAATACCTTTTCCATTGGTATTTTATCGGTTTCCGTGTGGAGCTCGATGGCTGCTGTCCCATCTTCGTATAAATCTTCCAATATTTTGCTATATCTCCCCTACTCCCTGTCTTCGAAGAGCTTCTAGTCTGCCTGTTCTCTAGGCTGGTTAGAATCCACACTGTCAGAGATGCGAGTTGTGATGACTTTTGTGAACAGT